CGCCCATGGGCCTGTCCCCTTAACAAAGCTGGTCTGTGGGGCCAGCCCCCTCCTGCCGTCCCTGCGATTGGGCCCAGGGGCTGGCCCCGCACAGCTTCCGTCCTGCCTCTGAGCCTTTGCTCCTCACCGGAATGCCCTCTCTCTCCCATCTCCATCAATCCAAATGCTCCTGAAGCCTACATCCCCCTAGCACCCCAGGGATGGGTGCTAGGGGGTGGACCTCAACGTGATTCATTCAGTTCAAGTGTGGATCAAAACACCAGACCAGGCCCTGCCCTCAAAAAGCTGGCTTGGTCTCCCACCGGGTGCCAGCTCAGCAGTATGGTGAGGGGTAATGAAAAGGGCTCTAGCAGATGGCATCGAGCACCACTCTGTGCCAGGCATTGTAATCAGACGCTGCTGCAGGGACTGGAGCTTCGCTCACTGTGGTCATTTCAATGGGCAGCTCCTTTTTTCAGCCTCTAGTCCTCAAGGTCAAAGGGCAGGGTGGCAGGCAGGAAGGACCCTCACTCTCCCTCCCTCTTCCAGGAAGAGGGGTTTGGTGTTTCGCAGGAATAGGAGCATGGCAGGAGACTTGACCACATGTCCCCAGCAGGGCCTGAGGCCGGGCCAGCCTCACTGTGGCAGATGGGAGGAGACAGGCCTGGGACCAGCTCAAGAGAGAAGGGGCCTTCACCTGGCCACCGAGAAAAACAAGCTAGTATAGCAGGTGCTCACCGTTCTTCACATCTGGACACTCTGTTTTTTGGTTCTCATCTCGCTTTGTCCCTCTATCTGTCCTGTGTAGTCTAGTGGTTAACTGATATTAGCCCCATTTTATAGATGAGGAAATCGAAGTCTGGAGGGATTATATCTCTTGCTTAATACACAGCGGGAGAGCTGGGAGCAGAACCCAAAGTCCTGGTACTCCCAAGGACCCCTTATAGCACAGGCCCATATCAACACTGCCCAGCTCTGCGTGTAGTGGATCCTTCAGCAGAGTTTGAAGCTGTCTGTGCTAACCCCAAATAGAGTCCTACCCCAGCTGCCAAGGGCAGGTGGGTCCTGATAGGAGTCATACGCTAATAATATCAAAAATTAACTATTAAATGACATTTTCCACCCAAATACTTAGCACAGTGCCTGATATATACTGCTCAATATGTGTAGCTATTATTATTAATAGTAACTTATTTAATAATTCCTCCTGGTAAGTGCTTTATGGTTTCCAAGGCACTTTCCACAGCAACACTTAGGCGGTTGGCTAGGGGGCAACAGCCTCATTTTGCGGATTCCCCCAGAGGGGAAGTACCAGGGTCAAGGTCCCAGCTGTGGAGTGCGGAGTCACCTGCTCTGGGCTCCATCCTCCACACCAAGACTTGGAGCTGCCCACCTATTACAGAGGCCCCGTAGAGCCTGAGCCCTTTAAGAGCCCTGGGACCGAGCGCAGGGAGAAACCCAAGGCCAGGCCTCTCTGCATTCTCTGGGGGGAGTGAGTAGCCGCCTGGCATTTTCCCTTTGATACCGATACAGGCATTTTAATAGCTGCAAAGATCAGGCGGGTGCTGTTTCGGCTCTGGCCATGCAGGGCATTCCAGGAGGCCCTGGCCGCCAGCAGGGGTGGAGCGGGAAGGCTGCTCTGTCCAGGGCGGCTGGGGGTCCACACCGGGACCTTAGAAGATTTTCTGCCCACCCTGAGCCTCATCCTGGGCATGTCCCACGAGGAGCCTCCAACTCAGATGCCTAAGGGGGCCAGGCTGGTGGGCTAAGAGGGTGAAGCTGACCAGGGAGAGGGTACTGTGGTGACCTGGGCAGCACACGCCCGCCTACCTAACAGGGGCAGCCATCACTCAGCCTCACCCAGTCATCATCATGGCCCAGTATCACCAGATCCTTCCACTGTACAAGAGAGACCAAAAATCCAGACCTTTATGTGAAGTCTCCTGATTTGTAAGCAACAGCTATTTATTGAGCACCTACCATATGCCAGGCCTTGTTCTAGGCACTGGGGATATGGCAGTGAATAAAACAGACCAAAATATCCATGTCCTTGTGGAACTTACTTTCTAGTGATTGCGGTAGGCAGTAAGCAAGATAAATGAACCAACAGTACAACAAAATCCAGCGGAAAAAGATAAAACAAGGAAGAAGGATAGCAAGTATATTACAGGAGGGCACCAGGGGCAGAGGAGGCCTCACTGAGAGCAAGAGGGCAGGCCAGCAAGTTCAAAGGCCCTGAGGTAGGAGAAAGCCAGGCATGCGCAGGAGCATCTAGGAGGCCTGTGTGGCCCCCTGGTGGCCGTGTTGAGAATGCTCTGTGGGGCAAAGGCAGGGGGACCCATCAAAAGGTTATCGCCGTGACCGGGCCAGAGATGACCAGGCTTGAACTGGGTGTAGTGTGGAGGTGGTGGAAAGGGGTCAGATCCTGGATGTGTCTAGAAAATAGAGAGCAGGAGTTGCTGACCAAATGGGCGTGGAGTGAGAGAGAAGGAGGCAACCCTGATGATCTCAAGGTCTGGCAAGATGGAGTCGCCATTCCCTATGATAAGGAAGACAGCAGAGGGGCAGGCCTGGCGGGGGGTGGGGCCAGAATATGAGGAGTCCGGTTTTCCCGAGCGCATTTTGAGATCCTATCAATGGAGATGTCAAGCGTCTGGTTCTGGATGAAGATCCGGGTTAGAGGTGCAGGGAGGGTGGCATTGTCACCCAGAGATGGCGTTGAAGACATGAGGCGGGGGGAGGGTCCCCAGGAGCCAGAGCAGAGGGGAAAGCAGTGAGGCTGGGCCCCTCGGCCTCCGCAGAGATGAGAAGCAACCGGCAGAGGAGATAGAAGGAGCACAGAGTGACAGGAGGGAAACTGGGAGAGGGGCATCCTGCTGCCCAGTGAGGAAAGTGTGTCAGGGAGGAGGCGGGGCTAGCAAACACTGTGACAGGCTGGGCTGAGGACAGTCCCCTGGGCTTAGCAGCACCGAGGTCACCAGTGACCTGGGGGATGGCACCCGGCGGAGGGCGAGTAGGAGCCCGGCGGGAGTGCTCCAGGAGAGAGAGAGGAGGAGTTTGCCTCGGACAGAGCTTGGTCGGGAGAGGAATTTTCTTTTCCTTTCTTTTTCATGGTGGGAGGGACACCAGCATGTTGGCCCAGTGATGATGTCAGGAGTGGGTAAGCGACCACTGCATCCCGCCCGAAGCCTGTTTGTGTAAATATGTCTTTATGGGAACACAGCTGTGCCTCTTTGGTCTTCGAGTTTTCTGTGGCTGCCTCTCACCTCCGACTGTAGAGCTGAGGGGTTGTGTCTCCGTGTGCCTCACACAGCCCGAAATATTCACTCGCTGGCCCTTTACAGAGAAGACGGAGCCTGATGCGAGCCAGGGATGGAGTCTAGAGGAGACCATTGCCGATGCAGGCGGGTGGGGAAGTCCCCGTGCGCAGCTGGACGGTTGGCCTCGCATGGGAGGAGCAGAGAGAAGGGGCAGGTGCGGTCACAGGCGCAGGTGGCCAGGTCGCCTGGTGGCCGCGGGAGCCTCTGCAGGCCTCTTCTGCTTGCTTTTCTCTCAGGACTGTCCGTTGACGGGGGCGTGGGGGGAGGGGCGCTGGGTTGGGAGCCTGGAAGCCTGGAGAAGCAGGGGCCTCGAGCTGAGCTGATGCGGCCGGGGAGACACCGTCTACCTGCGGAGCTCTCACCTGGATCGTGGCGGTGAATAAAAGCGAGGCCAGTGGGCGAGGCCTGGATGGTGCACCATGGCATCCAACTTGTGCTAGAGTCTCATGGCTGTCATGAAGCCGTGGAAATGTCAGGGGTCTGTGTCACTAGAAATTCAGGCTCTGCCAGTGAGGAGGCCAGTGATGGAGAAATGTTTATGGCAGGGTGGCCGCTTCCTATGGCAGGGACTTCAGTATTCTGGTCATAGTCAATAACTGTGAGCCGCGGGACAAGCCCCCCACTGTGGCCAGGTCTACATGTGAAATCAGTCACTTCAAACTGCTGGAAACAGATCCAGTGGGGGGGGGCGGGGAAGAAACCGCTGTAGGAACCAAATAAAATACATCTAAAGGCCGATGTGGCCTGGGAGCTACCAGGTTCTCACTGCTAAGCTAGCATCAGAGAGCACAGTGCCACTGTCCACCTCTGACCTTGGTCGTGTTCATCTCCCTGCTCCCCTCCCCCGCCTTGCGCCTTGGGTTCCTCCCCTGTAACTCGAGCATCACAAGTGCCTCCCAGGGGTCAGGCACCTTCCCTTCGATGCATCGACCATCCCAGTCCTCCCATGAACCCGGTAATCTGCCCAGGGTCTGAGAACTGCACATGAACCTCGGCAGCCTCTTCCTGGACGCGTCACTTGCAACTCCTGTGCGAGTGGGGCCCACCCTGTGTGGCTCAGCATGCTGCCCTTTGAGAAGCACACAGTCCAGGCCCTGGTGCTTGCGGCCGTGTACCTGTCTGTTTGCCACCGTGGAAATGGCAGCTCCTGGGGAGCAGGAGATGTCCTGGTCTACTCGTTGCCACTTCCTTGGGGGCCTTCCTGATTGGTTCAATGATTTGCAAAGAAGAGGTTCGATAGTGGGGCAGGTGACCTGCTCAGCCCCCTATCCCCTACCCCTGCCCAGCCTGCCTGGGCCTGGCTGTGAGGGACCCTAGAAGAACAGTCACTGTCCCTGACACTGGGATCAATCAGGAGCCCAGACCTAGACAGGAAACAATTAGCAGAGAGACGAGAAAAGCAGGTCTTTGTGCCCATGATGGTGGGGTGCAGGAAGGCCACAGCTGGTTTATAGGGCCCTGGGGTTGGGGTTAATTTCTTTAAGAGCACTCCTAAGACATCAGACACTGAGATTCCCTAGATGGGACCTTCTCCATCTGCTTCTTATTACGCAGACGCCCATGGCCAGTCTTTGATCCCGGAACAGTCCTCCTGCCAGCCCCCAGGCGGCCCTTTCTCCCCCTCCGTCCCCACCAGCCCACAGACCCTTCCCAGGGCTTGGCCTTCCGTTTCCGTCACTCCTCTCCTCTCTCCTTTTGCAGAAATGGAAGCTCCACTCTCGGAGGCGCCGGGAGGCCCTCCCGAAGACGTCTTCAGGGTGTCACTGTCCGCCAGGTAAGGAGCTCTGCGAATAGCAGACAAGGATGGGGGGACAGGCACCAGAAGCCCTCTTAGTGGGTGTGCTGTAGCCGCACCTGCTCAGAGCGTCCCTTTTCACGTGAAAGATGGGAATGACAAAATCTGTGAGGCTTACCTTCCCTCTGCGGGTTTCATTTATTCAAGTGTTCATTCATTCGTCAACTCTTCTATGGGGGTGTGCGCCAGGTGGCGAAATCAGATATGATGATGGGTGTGGCCACGTTCAGAACATCACGGAGCTTTACCATAAGGGCAGGGACCTGGCTCATCCAGTTCACAGTTGTGCCCCCAACTCCCGACACATAGTAGGTGTACAGTCGTGTTACACGGATGAATGGATTACTCCATCCTTGTAAGACTGGCCTGCCCGAGCTAGACGGCTCAGGTGCGTTCGGGGCGCGGCGTCACGGTTGCATGCATTAATGCACACAGGCTACAGGCTGCAAGGTGATGTGGGGCGTCAACTGGACTCAGATTCTGCTTTTGCCATTGACCGGCCCTCTCGGCTCCGATCACTGGTGAGGATGCCTGTTCCAGTACTCTTCCTCTGCGTCTCACCTGGAGCTCCTGCTCTGTGCTGGGCGCCCTGATGGATGTTGGGTTCAATGGCACTGTCTGCCATTAATAACGATGACAAGTTATAGCTCACGAGGACTTTTCTAGGTTGCTGGCCATATGATTAAGCTATGAGAATGACAGACGGGCAAGTCTCATTGTTCCCATAAGTAACTGGAATAGACTGTCCTTCTTTGGGGGTGAGGGAGGAAACTTCCAAAAAGGATTTGGGGTGGGGGACACTTTGGAGTAATCACAGAGGGCCTCTGCCAGCTCCAGGTAGGCCCCTTGACACTCTCTGTGGGCACATGACACAGGCAGGACACCCGCAGGGCACAGGAGCCCAGGGGCCTTGGTAGTCCTCACCCAGGGGCCCCAGGCCAGGCAATGGAGGCCAACAGGTGGTGAGCATATGGGAAACGGAGGGCCCACGTTCTCAGAAGAGTGAGGGAGCTGGGGTGGGAGTCACAGTTCAGGGTGCTGCCCCAGGAAACGGTGGGGCCATGACGGAATTCAGCTGGCCTGTCGGGAGGGGGTCGCCCGGGTTAATTAAAAGGGTGTTGGAGTCCTGGGAAGCTCCCTCCCTCCCTCCCTCGGGGCCCAGGAGATTGAGCCCTGGCATCCGGGAAAGCTTCTGGGAGAAGAATGCCAAGGTTAATGAGATGCGATGAAGGTGAGGGAAGGGTAGCGGGGCCTGGGCAGAGCTCCCGTAGCATCAGGGTTTCTAAGGAAGCCGAGGCCTCAGATAAGCCTGACCTGTAGCTCTCAGTCGATTGCAATCATCTTTCGCTCAAAGTCCATAATGCTGCTGAAGGGCCGGACATTTGGAGCCACAGAAAATAGAGGCTTGAGGTCCAGCTCTGACATTTACCAGGGGTGTGACCTTTAGAGAATGATTTAACCTCTCGGCCTCAGTTGCCTAGTGTGGAAAGTGGGAATAAGGGCCCCCTTGCAGGTGTATGGTGGAGACCCAGTGAGGTCATCATGGAAAGTACTTAGTACCGTTCCTGATTGCTAGGAAGCACTATTACTGTTATTTCCTCAGTTCCTCCTGTACTTAAAGATGTACAGAAATCCTATCAAATACCGTGTCCTGGTGTGGGGGGGGGGTGCCGTGGGCTGCACATTTATGGTAAGGCAGAGGCTTGCCCTTCTCCCTCTCCGTTGTGATTGGGCTTCATGTGTCCTGCCCACCCTCCAAGTGGGTGTCTAACTGATAGTCGTCAATTTTGTGCTTGGGAGAGTCTGGCTCAGGTGGTCCTGGGAGGCTGGGAGGCTGGGGAAGGATGTGGCGGGAAGGAGGACAATTCCAAAGCTGCTTCATCTCTCCTCACTTCTGGGAGTCTGTGGGCTCCCCAGGGGTCTTGGACAGGGAGGAGGAAGTGATGAAGCCACGGTGAACGATTCAGAAGTGGGGGGAAGGAGGGACGCAGCGGGGACCAGAAAAGGCTTGATGCTGGTCCCCTGTGGGGAGGAGCCATCAGCAGGGACCCAGCTGGCAGGAGATGGGAGGAGAGAGCCAGGGCTCCTGGGGGGGGGTCCCGGGTGTTCGAGAATCACCCAGAGGGCAATTTGGCCCAGATTAGAGATCAGAGCCAGATGGGTAGCACCAGGAGAATTTAATCAGAGGACTTAAAATTGAGGCAAAATCCGAAGAAGGCTAAGATGCTCTCCCAGCTTTTTGGAGTGGCAGCAGGAAGGGACTGGAAGGGCCGTGCGGAGGCATCTCAGACAATGGAACCACGGAGTAAAATGCATCTGCTGGGACGGGCTAGGTCCTGTTGGGTGGGTCCCTGCACCTGCCCCTTCTGCCCAACCGGGGGGGTTCTCACCACACGGTGAAGTTACTTCCTCCACACTGAAGGCTGCCCACCAGGTGGCTGCCAAGCTGTCATGAGTCATTGCACTTCCGCCACAGCCCCTAACCCAGTACCTGCTATGTGCCAGGAACAGTACCGAGCCCTTCATATTGATGGATGACCTTTACAATAACACTCCAAACAGGCAGAGTGGGTTTTTGACGTTCTAAAATAGTTGCAAACCTCCAAACTCAAGAGTAGAACGCCTCTCTCCTTCTTGGGCCTAAATGATGCATCTCAGATTATTTCCTTAACGTCAGAGTTTATAAACCACTTTAGGAACCACTTTGAGGTTCCTGATATTTGCAGAAGAACTTATACAACTGGAAAGTGCTACCCACAAAGTCAAAGCATTACCATTTTTGTCTTGCCAGCATCTCATAACGTGCCTGTACATAGTAGATGCTCAATGCATCTCCAATAAAGGATCATTAATTACCCTTCCTGAACGATTAGGTTCTTTCCTGTGTTCTCCATCTGCCCTCTGGCTGGTTTCTGATACCTCCCCCTCCTTCACACACCACACACCCTACCCCACCCCAACCCAAGACTGCCCTTCATCTTGCCTGATGCTGATCTCTCACCGCTTTGGGGACACAACACATAAACACGCATTCCTCCTGCCTTCTGTGGCCGCTGGGATCCAAGCCTAGGATCTTGAGCCCATGCCTGCCCCCAGTCCGCCTCTGCGGCTGGCTGGGCTAAGGCGGAGTCCTGGGTGTGTTCTTCCTCGTGGCAGCCTTGGGCCCCTGGATGGCCTCCAGAGGGCTCAGGACACATAATCATGGGCAGAAAACCCACCTCCTTCCCCTCCTACTCTGACCTCACCAGCATCCTCCCAGGATCCTCCCTGTCCCAAAATAGCCATGCACTCCCCGAGATCTCGCTGCTCCTGGGCCCCATGCACTGTGTTCCACGGTTGTGACGGGCCTGCAGGCCTGGGCCAGGGTGCTGACGGGTGTGCCTCGCTCGGACTGTCACAGCCTCCAGAAGTTCAGAGGAGTAAGCATGGGCCATTGGCAAAGCATTCGGCCCGGTGGGACGGGAGAAGGGCCTTGGGAACAGATAAACGCACCGTGAGACTTCCCAGGCCACTTGAGAAGAAGAATACAAAGATTAGGGAAACTCCCATTTCGGTCCCTGTTCTCAGTACCAAATGAGAAGCAGGACAATACGGGCTCCAGGCAGCGAGGAAGCAGCTCCTTCAGGCCCGCCACGCTGGGGCTGGGCAGGGCTGGCGGTGGGAAGGAGCCCCGACAGCCAGCTGCGGGAGAAGGGGGCTCCACGTTGTGGGCTTCATCTCCGAGGGGAGAGAGGAGCCCAGAGTTCCAGAGGTTTGGACTGCAAAAGCAGGGACGAGGGGGTGGCATGGTGGGGTCTGTGCATTCGCACCTGAGCCAGCCGTGGTTCGGAGCGTGGATGAACCGGAGGGAGGTGGCCCTCAGCCTGGTTTGTGGGAGAGACCGTGGCCATCCACTGGTTCAGTGTGCTAACGAGCCAGGGAGCCCAGAGGAGCCTGGGGCTCAGGGAGGGCTTCACTGCGGAGGTGGCACTGGAGGTTGGTGGTGGGGCATCTGGTTAGTGCAGAGCCTCAGCTGCCGCCATAACAACAGAGCTCCCGATACAGGGACTCCAACAAGGCGGAGCGGAGGTCTCTTCCTTAGCAGGCCGGACGACAGTGGTGCCGGGCTGGGAAGGTGGACTTGCCAGCTCCTTCATGCGGCACGATGCTGGCAGTTGCTTTGGTCTCACCATCCCAAGTTTTTTAAGAGCAAAACTTGAAGGGGAAAAAAAATCCCGACATGCATCACTTCCGCTCGTATCCCATTGGCCAGCACTTAGTCACATGGTTACCAGCTCCCCCGGGAGGCCCGGCAGGGGTTTTCTGCTGGGCCGCCGGGCGCCCGGACACAAGTCTGTTGCTGGATAACGGAGGAAAGACTAGCAATCTGCATAGACGCCATTCCACCCACACGGGCAGAGGCTCTGAGAAGAAGAAAAAGGCGGAATATGTGGGAACGGCAAGCAGTTGGAGGAAGCTGGAGCATAGCAGCGGTGATCTGAAATAAGGGTGGGAACAGACAGCAAAGGGCCAGGCCGAGGAGTTCCAGCTCTCCCCCTTACAAGAGAGGGAAACGGTTTTCATCCTGAGGGTGACTGATTAGTAATGGCTGCCCGCAGTGTGCAGCGTGGATTCGGAGGCTCCACCCAGGCTCAGTGGAAGGTGCGGTCATCGCTTAGGGATGTCTGTTGTGGGTGCAGGCGTGGCGAGCAGTAACCCCTGCTCTGGCTTTGTTACCCCTCAGGAGGTGATGTGGCGTCAGAGAAGGGTTGGGGAGCAGGGATGAGACCTGATCCCGTTTGTAGTCTAGAGCAGTGTCTAGCAATGACGTGGAGGCTGGCTTGAGGGCAGAGAAGCCCCTTCAGCAAGGAAAGTTGGCAATTGATGTTCAGGCTGAAACAGCCCCCCTGGGCTTGGTTAGCTTCCATATGTGGTGAGAGCTGGTGTTCACATGTCCTGAAGCCCTTTCTTTGTCTAGCCTTACCCTGGTTGCCCTGGTG